TGAAATTCAATAGAAACGTCAGCTCAACTCATATCATTGTGGGAAAATTCTACTACCAGTCCTTCATCACTTTACACGAAATTAATCTAATTTCAGCCAACTTTTCACACCGACTGACTGTGCAAATTATTCGAACAGGCACAAGATGACATGAGGTCAAGATAAACGGTTTTCATCTTCCAACTAGATCCAGCTTTAAAATGAGTCGGCTTTAGATGCCAGCGACAGTAGAGAGCTGTTGTTTAGTTATTATTCACTAGTCACTAGTCACTACTCACATCGAAAGTGAGTAGTGTGCTCAATTGATAAGGCAAATAATCAAGTGGTCACATGCTGTCGCTATTTGCATAACCCAGTTTTTTCAATGTCATCTAAAAAGTTGAGAAGACCGAGGCAAAGTCTCAACATCAGTCCAAGATGGATGAGATGATCAATCACCTGCGAGCAGGGATTCGAGCCATCACAACGGAATCGCAACACTTGACAACCAAACAACTTAATTATTGGTGCAATACACATTACTACGCTGCATATTAGAACAGATGACTACAGACATTCGTCACCGCTTTGAAGTTGTATGGAAACAGGTCGTAGACACATTCAATCCCATGAGATCTACAGAAGCCCAGATGGTGTCTCGATGGGTGGACTTCAACCAAAAGTCAACTACTTTTCGTTCTGCTTCCGATAAATGCACTCATCGGATTTAGGGAAAAAATAAAAATACCCAAAGGTTCCAGCATCATTAACTTACCAGGAGTCTCGAAGTGGAGAACCGTGAGGTCGGCCAAAGGAATATGGCTACGCACTTGGTAGACCCCGTTGTCGGGCAGCATCGTGGAGAATGCGTGCTGGACCGCCTGCTTTGACTTGGCATAACGTCGACCAATTGTTGAAGATGGGTTTGCTGAAAAAGTGGACAAGGATAAACAAGAAATATTGTCAATGAAGAGGGAATGGAAATAAATGAATAAGAATGAAAAGCATCACAGCTATAAAGACCAATTTCGGTCGCTGTACCAAATTGGTAGGAGCTCATTTTCCCAAATCGGCCGAGTTGTCAGGGCGACCGAGATGAGCGCACCTTGTGCAAAGTTTTCTTCAATTCAAGTCATGATAATTTTCATTACTTTTACGACAAAGAACTTCGGTCAGGGTGCACTGAAATGCAACGTCGTGGTTGCCTGGGAACTAAGTTCAAGACCAGATCTGACACTCAAAAGTACATCATTGTGGAGACTTTTATTACGTATGAAAGTGCATGGTACAGGGATGTATAGGTATGATTCCAATTGTTATGCAGCCATTTTGCTCCAATAAGATGTTCAAGATGGCACGGTTCATGAGACATCCTCCTTCATTTCGGCAAATCTTCAAATCTTAGCAATTTAATACGAAATAAAAGTCTCTGCAGCAATTTTTGCTTAATAGATATATAAAAACCCAGATATTCTTAGTATATATAAAACAATTATAGTCATCTGGACGTGATTCTTTCGATTTTCAAATGGAGCATATTACAATAAGTAGAATAAAATACTTATTTTTTGCATTCCGTTCAACTGAATGTCATATTAAACACAGAATATGGGGCATCTGTTGTTGTATTTCGGTGAGATCGACCAACGAATATCTTCACCTCGCGGTCTCATATCAAATGAAAGTCCCAACAGCAATATATTTTTAAGAGTTGTATTGAAACCCTGCCACTCTTTGTATGCATTCGATGTATTCACATTATTTCCATCAAAATTATAAATGGACTGGTAGTTGAATTTTCTTATAATGTTATGAGTAGACCTCATGTTTGCATTCAATTTTGCATAGCCTTGCTTTGCAAAAAGCCATTCCCACTCATTATTTCCCGTTCTTCAGCACAAAGCAGTTACAGCCAACTTTTAGGAAAATTTCCCTTTCTCAAATTGGTCGAATCCCGCTAATTTAATGTGAGTGATAGAAAATCCCTGGGGATGACAACGGAATAGCTG